CATGCGCTCCAGTGTGGGGCACACGTGGCAGAGGTGAAGGAAGTTATTTTCTTCTCCATTTTTTTTTGTATCGTGTACAAAAATGTATTAGTAGCAACCAGTAGTTTTTGTAACCTAAAATGCAAACCCAATTTCTGTCAAATTGTCTCATAAATAAATACGAATAAATAATAGCGCATATTTGAATTCATTCTCAAATCCATTTGCAGTCAAATGAAGTCCTGACTAACTGACGTTCTTCCATTTCACTTTGTCACTGATATTGATGTTTTTTCCACACTACACAATACGTAGGTTCTCCTTCCATGTGTATATCAACAATACAATTTTCTGAAGTTCCCATTACTTACACCAGTACTTTTTGAAGTTGTTGGCTTCGTCATTATTTACTGGCATTTTAAAGATTGAAATACAATAATAAAAAATATTGAAATATCATACCTAACCATTAAAGTATCTGTGTATTATGTATATATATAAATATATATATATATATATATGTATGTAATAACCACCAGAAGCAAACAGTTGTATTTCTTTAATACAACTTATACACATATGTTATAAATATATTTTTACGTATTTCTCTATTTCCAGTAAATTTAGGTAAGAACTTAATACATTTATCTATGATTAAAGTGCTGTTGACATGCAGTTCTGCTTTCAGATCTGAAAATTGATAGGATTAAACATGCTCTTATACATACATAGGTTTATGCAGAGTAAAATTTACTCTTTATTATTGAATTAACATTATATTTAGCCAATGTTTAAAACTTCTACTCGAGAGTATTGTTACTTTTACCAGACCATGTTTTCATCGAAATTCGACTTCTAATAAAAAGTTTGTAGTTTGCTTAATATCTCTTCGAGAGGAATACGAATTATGACCACAAGAACTTACTTCACCACATACTATCTACCACAAACAACCTCGTCCATTTTTGATGTGAGTCCAAACTCCATCTAAACTCTTCAAAATGCTATCCACTTTATCGATTTTCCAACTGCATACACTTATTTGAAACCAAATAACGTATAAATCCTTCCAATTTAAATAGTATGATTTTGAAATATGAAATAAATATCATTCTTATACTGTTTTTACATATATTTTCTTTTATTTTTTTGATTTTTTGACTTCTCGAACACTAATTACACTACAAATCAAAGTACATGTTTTCCGACTAGAAAGAATATTGGTACATTGCAACCTCTAAAATCTATAAAGTTATTCTTGTAGAACGTTTTCTGTTCTAACTCGAGCAGAGCTTAGAAGTATTGTTGAATCATAAAATCATAAAATCGTACCTATTTCGGTACTACAAAAATTAATTGAAAACTGTTACCCTCTTTAAGTCTCGAACACAAGCAGAGAAAATGCATATAACACTGATTTATGTACCATGACTTATAAGATCTAGTAATGTGTTTCTGCAGAAAACTGTAGTCCCACAAGTTTCTCTGCTTTTTTTCTATGCTTTACTTGACTTGTACTGCTGACTTATACTGTACTGCAATATTGATAAATTAGCCAACTACGTTAAGAAATGGAAAATGAAACTCCATCAAGTAAGCATCAAGAGAATTCAAGGAAAATACCTGTGCCTAACATTGTACCAAAAGTTGATTTGAAAATTGGGTAAATCCAATTTTTACACAAACTCTATCTAAAGCTAAAATTTAACACGGAAAAGTAGAATGCTTATCTCTAATCAAACCTTCAACTCATCAAAAACTCAATATATCTTCTATCTAAACCTTTCAAAAGTTCTTCTTCTATTCTATACCTTTGCCTTGTATGTCTTTTAATTTTCTAAAGTTCTATACCGTTTCCTATCAACAAGAAACTATCAACAAGTACTGTAAGAATAAGGAGTTTAAGTTTTAAAGCAAAATAGTTGATCATTCTAACATTTCTTTACTCTGACAGAAGTATTCCAACAATAGCGTTATAATTTGCTGATAATGATATAGACGAATGGGTTTTCACTGAGTTGATCAAAAGAGATCCAGAGGAAGGAGTAAGATGGTAGTTATTATCAATTCCATTAAATCATTAGTTCAGTAATGATCTCTAACATAAACTTCTGACTGAAAAATTATGAGTGGACCTCGAATTGGAATAGGTAGCCGGAATGGGTTTTCACTGAGTTGATCAAGAGAGATCCCGAGGAAGGAGTAAGATGGTAGCTATTATCAATTCCATTAAATCATTAGTTCAGTAATGGTCGCTAACATAAACTTCTGACTGAAAAATTATGAGTGGACCTCGAATTGGAATAGGTACCCCGAATGGTCATAATCATTATCATCATCCATGACTATACAGTCCATGTAGGACCTAAGCCTGTTTAACAACCTACTTCCATTCTTCTCTGTTTTTTGCTTTTGTTTTCCAATTTGTTATGTTAATTTCTTTTAAATCCTGTTACATACTGTCTTTCCATCATTTTCTTCGTCGCCCTCTTCTTCTGCTGGTTCATACGTCGTTCTCATAAATCTTAAGCAGTACCCTCATATCATCCATTCTTATCACATATCAAACCCATCTTAATGGCTGTTTTTTCATAAGTTTGTTGATTGTATCACCTTCAACTAGCCGTTCTAGCTCATGGTTATTCCTTATGCGATACATCCCGTTTTCTTTCACGGGATCATACATTTTTCTGAGTATAGCCTGAATGGACACTCAGTTTTTAAGATAGGTCATTCATTTATGACTGTTATACTCAACTAGAATTCTTAATGTTTTTCTGTTTAAATAAATTTTTTTTAAATGTCATATTTTATTCGGAATAGGGATCACAAAAACAAACTGTTGAAATTGGTTAATTCTATCTTATATTACTACAAACATATTTTAACATTAGAAATCCCTCTTTCAACAATTAACAGCACGCAATTTATATTTCCATTTAAATAATAAAAAGAACTTCATAAAAAATTGAATTGAATAGTCATCTTTAATGAAGTACGGCTACAAGAACCAAAATTCTAGAGGCAGGTAATTCTGTATACTAAATTTAGGAAAAAAATACAAAAAATAGGAATTTTATTCGTTGCATACAAAATACAAAATAATGTTCGCATATCAAAAGCTCAATTTATATGACAAAACACAATCAACTTTTTACGACCCCATTTGCCCCAACCACAACACATAGACTACTTATTAAATACCCACCGGTGAACACGCTCTGTCGCTCTATTCTAGTACACAACTATGGACTCCCGAAGCTCACCAAACGGAAGGGTCATTAAAATGATGTTCGCTACACTGTCATCGTATTGAGCAGTTTGCCCCTGCTCCATAGGCATTCTAGGCATATTTTCACTTTAAGTCGTCATTTTCGTTTTCATTTTCTTCGTTTTTTGATTATATTTATTACATTCCATTTTGTTTTATTTTCCTTACTTTATTTTCATAGTGTACAAGTGCAATTCTCTCTTTACTTTTTTATTTTATTTTTATTTTTTTTTTTTAATAAATTCATTTGGTCGCGTGCTAAGAGCTCAAATAAAATGGAGTTGGAGTATACGGATAGATTTTTTTTGTGGGGTGAACTAAAACTGAATATATGCAATATAAGGCATCCTTTACTCGAGCCAATGACAATGCTTCTATGATTTATTCATTTAGCTGAGATAGGAGTTGGGGAAATCATTCCATAGTTCGAATGGATTGCGTGGTAGTACGAACTAAGGGTTGCTCTAGTGTAACGTAATTTAAAATACTTCCTCTCCTCCCTCTTCTGAGTGGAGAGTGCGCAATACACGCGATGTCCTTTCCGGTTTTTATATTGTTTTTGAAGTAGAGCTGCATAAAAAAAAATTAACTGCTTTTATATTCCACTTTTCATATATACACACTCATTCATTTAAATAAAACTTGGGGTAAAGTTTTAATAGCTGCTGGTCAAAGTTTTAATGGGTTTAGTTTTTGTTATTAGCCAATGGTATTTTGAATAAATATAAAGTGATGTCTTTCATTTGTACCTGTATGCATTTAAATATATTTTTTTATAATATATATAAGGCATTTAAAGAGTTGATTAAAGTTATAGTTGAAAAAAATTATATAAAAATTCAGTTCATATCTGAACCATCACTGACATTGATGGAACCAGGCCCGTAACCAGAAATATGCTACTGAAAGGACTGCCTTCAATTAAACAATCATCATTAAAAAAAAAATTTTTGTCTTTTTAAACACTGATGACACTTTAATGATATATATACAAGTATAGTCCTTCGATATATTTCGGAAGGAAGGAACAATTCTTGTTATTATAATTGTAACTATATGTTATTAAGATAAGGGAGTTCTACATTTTACATTCTTGTTCGGCAGACCCATATTCCAAAGGCAATTCAATAATTGATTTTTTTATAATTGTAGATTAATTTTAGGCAACTAAATGTAAATCTATAACACGTTTGGGCGTATGGGTCGTATGGGCCTTTAGTAATAACGGATTGAAATTTAAAAACTCTTCTTTCCAAGGGTTAATATTAAATTTTTTGTTTTAAGAATTACGAATTTTGTGTCTTCAGCTATCTGGTTACGAAAAAATAGACAAATGTTTTTCCTAAGTTCATCCAGTCGAGAAAAAAATCGGCAGGTTTAAAGAAGTAGTTGAAATGGTACGTATATGCTAGATCAGCAAAGAGATTAGACAGCTATAATAATACTCATAATAGGGTGCACCTTAACCACTATAAATAGGCCAGGCTGAGCTTAAGCCATGTATAGACCATTTGGATCCTAGCGATATCAGATAGAGTTAAATCTCTTATTGCGTATTTAAGGACTGTCTTAAGGTTTATCACTGAGGTTCTGTCTCAGCAGAATCCAAACAGTTATTAAAAAACTTTTTGAAAACCTTAG